CTGGCCTGTGGGGATTGGGCCAAAACCAGCTCTCCTACATCCCCTGAGGGGTCCCAAATTGTGAGAGGGTGAAGGCCAGGCCAAGGGACCCCACTGGTGCACAATTGGGGCTGGGGAGGTACGTGGGAGGTTGGCCAGCCAGGGAGGGACTGCAGGAGGGCTCCAGGGTATGTGTCTGGCCCACCTCGCTCAGTCCCGATTGACCAGACCCCAGCAGCAAGCTAACCTACTCATCGGAGAGTCTTCCCCCTGGTGGTCAGTGCACATCATAGCAACTGGTAGACCAGCCAAATGTCTGCTCCCTAGTGATCAGTGCACAACATAGTGAGCGGTTGAGCGGCTTTAGCATATCATTTGCATATTATACTTTAATTGGTTGAATGGCCAACCGGATGACTGGACACTTAGCATATTAGACTTTTATTATATAGGATTTACCATAAAGCATCTATATTTAGTGGTTATTTCAGTCCTCCAAAAGTGGATTTATTTTACCTCTTTGTCTCATTGATGAGGAAGGGAGGGAAGAGAAATGAGAAGGGACTTACCTGTTTTGATGAATTGTGATGTTTGATTTCAATGCTTTAGAATATTGGTTTTTGCCAGCCTCTCAGCAACTGAAGTCTCTGAACTTTCAAGTAGCATGTCTTTATAAAAAGAATATATAAAATACTTAAATGAAAAAAAATGTTCATTGATGAGAATGTGTTTAAGCCCACACACAGTTTCAAAAAAAAAAGTTAATAGTAAATTCATACTTGGTACAGCATATAAAAGAAGAGCCAAGTGTGGGAGGCAGGCAAATTATCACAGATTTTGCGATTTTCATAAATAAAAGACTTTTTAAACATTCAAATCTGCTTTTTTCAAAAGTAACTTGCTATAAATATGATGAATTTTGTTAAAACTAGGTTTAGATAAAAAATGGACTTGATGGCAAAGTTTCTTATCCAAAATCCATTCCAAATTATCTTACATTTTTTCCTCCACAGTTTCCTCCTACTCTGAATTTTAACAACTTAACACACAATACAGTGTACAGATGATGTGTTGTGGAATCATGCACCTAAAACCTATATAGCATTGTTAACCAGTATCACCCCAATAAATTCAATAAAAAGTAAAAAAAAAGAACACAACAAAAAACCATAAAATGAAGTGTTTGAATATGTATGTACAGATGATATGGACTACTTAAAAATTAAAAAAAGATTCCAGATTGGTCATATATTATGAATTACTATGCGTTCTCTTAAATCACTATGGTTCTCTGAAGACTGTCTAGCAGTGATCACTTGGTACAAATCTCAGATAATACGGTAATAGGAAGAAAGCTCTAGGAGAAATATACCAGAGCAAGGGTTGTAGGTGATGGAAAGTTTTTCCATATGTACATCCTCCACCCCTTTCAGAAAAAGAAGGGATAGACTATGTAGAAATGCTTTGTAACCAATTAATGAATCAGTGTTGTTTTGCTGACCATAAGTCATTTTGTGTCAAAATTGTGAATCTTCAGAATAAACTCAATTGTCCAGAAGCAGTTGCATGGCTCTGTGTGATTGAAGGGAACATAACTACTAAAGGCTATTGGAATAGTTTTCTGCTCAGAATTTCTCATTTTTGATAGGCATCATTCTGCAGAGCTTGGTGGTGAATCCATCTTACAAAACGTGAAGATTTTGCTCACAGAGATAGAAAGAAGGGAACTGGCCAATCATTATCTTCACTGTAATCTCACGTCCCAGCTCCAGCTCATGGACGCTTCCCAAGGATTCCTTGTAGACAGAGTCATCTACCGAACTGTGAACACTTTAAAGGTTCAGATTGTGTTCTTAACACAGTGCTTTGCATGGAATAAATTATATGAGAACTCAAAATGCATTGTTTTTTAAAACTTTATTTGTATAAACCTTGTTTTTATTGTTGACACTATTACAGATTTCCCTAGTTCCCCCTGCCTTTGCCCAGCTCCACCCATCCCCCACCTCCCTTCCCTCTGGCCCTCACCACACTATTGTCTGTGTCTATGGGTTATTCATGTCTGTTCTTTGGCTAATCTCTTCACCTTAGTGTATTGTTTCAACATTTAACAGATATTTAAATGCCTGTTGGTGCATATAAGCATAACCAATGGACTTAAGACACTGGCGGGTAGGGGAGGCCAGAGGATTGTTAAGAGCAGAGAGAAAAAAAAATAAATGCATGTTGGTGTGATAAAGGATATTTTTATATAATGAAAGCACTATGATTTTATTTTTAGTGAACGTCTCTCAGTTCACAAAAGGCTTATAAAAGTTTCTATATTGTATTTTAAAATTAAATTTACCTCTCTTCATTCCATCACAGTCCAATGTGTATTTCATGTACTCCTTCAACTCAATGATCAAATTATACTTGTAATTTTATTAATTTTAAGTACCATGTCAAAAGAACCATCATTTCTTTTTTAATATAAATGTGTAATAATTTTTATTTTAGTATTAAAATAAAAAGTAATACTATATTTTACTGTAAAATATATAACATTTATTACAGAAAGTACATAATTTTAATAGATTTTGTGGTATGAGGTGAAATAGCTTGCTTTTCTAAGATTATTTCCTGGTGATATTTATCTTTTATCCTTGACTATGGTAGTGATAAGAAGGGTTGTGTTTTCTTTCCATCAGCGTATTTTAATTACTAATTGTGTAAACAACGAAAATTTTTATTTTTAGTGGGAAACTATTTCATAAGCATTAAAAGGCTTTATGATAACCTTTAAAAAGTTATTTAATGTTTATTTAACCTTTAAGAAGATTAAATTCATATCATATATATTATCCCTTCTTTTTCAAACTATTACAGGCATGATTTCAGACTCTTTGGAAGCAATAACAGTTGTTAAATGAATACATGAATGAGCTTCTACTTATAAGATTCTAGTCTCCTATAAAATTAATTTTTATATATTCCCATTGCTGGTGAATCAGTGTCATGATCTTTGCATAATATATTTGGAAACATATTTTTGGCACTAAAAGCCTATTTCAAATGGAATTTTAAAAGTACCGATGTTAAGCTCATAATATGGAGATTGACGGTTGCCAGAGGTGAGGGGAGTTGAGGGGCTGGGAGAAAAGGTGAAGGGGTTAGTTAGTACAACTCGGCAGCTACAAAATAATCATTGGGTGTACAGCACAGCATAGGGAAGATAGTCAATAATACTGTAGTAACTATGCATGGTGTCAGGTGAGTACTAGACTCATCGGGGGATCACTTCATAAATTACATAAATATCTAACCTCTACGTGCTGTACACCTGAAACTAATATAATGTTGAATGTCAACTGTAATTGAATTATTAAAAACTTTTAAATAGAACCAATTTCAAATCAAATTTCAGGAGGGCATGATTATCATAGTAGCTCAATTATTGTTTTGGAATATCTCAAAAGAAATGGACTAAAAAGATTAATAATACATTATTAACCTTAAAAGGATAAAGAATTCTTGAATCTTACTGAAACAATAATAATCTTGTTTTTGTTATATAATTATTCAAATAATTTGAGATGTTAGAGCAAACCAATAGTGCTTGGTAATAGGGTTCATTATGGGGAAACCCAAAGGTAAACTTGTATCCTTTGTTTTAAAAGCAAATATTTACATTTTTTATGAAAAATGATATTTAAGTCCTACAAAATAGCATTATGGGAGATAGCTGATACCATGGGAGTAAATACAATTATCCAGAGAGAGAGAAGAGGGGCAGCTCCAGGGTGCCACTGAAGGTTGTGGGTCTTTAAAGCACCAATATAATAAAACAAATACAAAAAGAAGTCTAGGAAGACACTGTTTGAGTGGTGATGTCAGCAAAAACAGTGGACTTCGATAAATTGTGTCCTCCGTAACAGCAGTAAGAAAACAGTCCAAAAATGTGACAACCAACTTTTTTAGAGCTCTGGCAATTAATCAGAGACTTGCAATAATCCATGAAATAGTTTAATCAAGAAAAACATCTGATTGGTCAGAGCAGTGGGAGTTGTTGCATTGTAACTTGCCTTATGCTTGTCCCCGCTTCTCAGGCTTCAAGGGAGCACCAATAGCCAACAATCGCTATAAAAAACAACCTGGTAGCTACGAGAGGGGGCAGAATGGAGTTTGAACTCCTTTAAAGACTCATTCTTGAAGGGTTATTATTTGACTTGTGAGGGGTTTTCTGGGAGACCCCACTTTGCACGACTGCTTTATTTGAGCTAAGTTAGAGAGTACCTAGTGTGAAAAGCTTTTTCCTGGGAATGTTTGTCAAAAACATTTAAAGAGGCAGCTTTTTTTGACTTCACGGTTACTGGAGGGTATTAGTGGAGGCAAACAACAGACTAACTAAAAAGCTTAAAAGAAAAAGCCACGGAATAATATGTCCTTAGAGGTTTGGAAAAGTTCCACATATTCCTGGGCAACTAGAGGGTCATACACATGTGAGCATGCCCAGTGTCATAGGCTAAATTTCCAAAGTTCATATTTTGAAGTCCTAACCCCAAATACCTCAGAATGTGACTTTTTTTGGAGATAATTAAGGTAAAATGAGATCATATGGGTGACTTTTTCTTCTTCAATAAAAGCCATAAGAATTTTATTGCAGATGAATTTTTGTATTTTCTTATGGCTGAATCATTAAGGATACTTTTAGCTAAAAACTGCAATTAGAAATAAAACTTGGGTACATGCAAAGTTTGAAAGCCTAATAATTTGTCTTTGTTTCCAGTCTCAACAGAAAATAATATCACCTCTGACCTTGGGTTAAAAACTTATGAAACCTTATAATACTAACCGTAAACCTAAAAGACCTTCTTGTCATTATGATCACATTCATTGTATTGTATGTAAAGCTTTCCTTTTGGTTTTCAGAAATATTTTTGCTTAGCATATTAATTTTATATTTGTAGGTAACAATTGTTAGGAAGGTTTTTTTTTTTTTGGTAAAATCTATGGTGTATTTTTTTTTTTCTTATTTTTAGTTTGGTTGCAACAAAGGAAACAAATAGCGCAAGATCTAGAAGTGCTCCAATGTCACCTTCTGACTTCCTGGATAAATTAATGGGGAGGACATCAGGATATGATGCAAGAATCAGACCCAATTTTAAAGGTAATTGTTCTGCTTTCTATTACATACTAAATGTGTTTTATTTTTTTAAATTAAAAATATATTATTTATTGATTTCAGAGAAGATGGGAGAGAGAGAGATAGAAACATCAATGATGAGAGAGAATCATTGATCGGCACGCCCCCTACTGGGGATCCAGCCCACAACCCTGGTATATGCCCTGACCGGAACTGAACCAGTGACCTCTTAGTTCCTGGAAAGGATGCTCAACCACTGAGCCACCCCTAGCTGGGCATGAAATGTATTTTAAGTGTGATTAAACAAGATACATTTAAAAATTGATTCCATCAAAAATTCTGAAAATATAAAATATTCTCACTATCTACAATGGAATATTCTCACTAACTGGAATAAAAGCTTCTTGGAGCTGACAATGATGCTCCCATATTTTAAATCTTCCACAGCAGGATTTTCTATATTGTGGAGAATCATATCATTATTGAATTTATGTACTGGGGAAGGGTCTGGATAAGTAAAGCCACTGATAACATTTAAAAAATTATTCTACCTACCAAATGTTTTTACCTAAATTTATAGGAAAGAATTTTAAGGAGTACCATATTCAAATAAAAATGAAAAATTTCAGCATTATGAGGATATTTTACAAAAGCAGTATCCTCCTATGCAAATTTATCTTTAATAATATTACTGCTTATGCTGGCATTGTGTCATTCTCCAAAATAATTCTCTCTCTCTTTAAAAACAAAAAGAAATCTGATTTCTTCTATCGTCTGTCTCAAACATACTCCCACTCATACCCTTCATTCTTATTTGTTTCCTCTAGATTTAAGGAGAATTGTTTAGATTTGTCCTCTAATCACTCTTGGACATGACATAGTGTTCTGGGTATTCTTTGGGAATGTTTAGGAGCATTTTAATTCTGTAATTATATTATGGTCTCTTCACAGACCTCTTTATCCTAAACCATTTCCTTGAATGTGAAGTCATAGAGGTAGGTGGTGTCACAGGTTGCTAGGCAGATACTATTTTGTATGCTTAGTTGTTTGTTTTATTTATGAAAATAGCGAAAACCATGTACCTGAACTTGGCGAACATTAAATTGTCTAAAGATATCAGTGATGAAAAGCAGCAGCTTCTTGCCTCAACAATCCTTATGCACAGTTCTACTTCTTTGAAGTAAACACTCCAAAAGTAAAATTGGTTAATTTCTGGTGAAATATGTTTGATTGCTTTCTGGGACTTTTACAAACAAGGCATTATGAGATGCCTTTGCACTAACTAGACTGCTCATTTAATGCCTCCATTCTTACATTCCACCTTTTCTGTTTCCCCTTTCTGCACAATCATCTCTTTTCTTCTTGCAGGGACAATTATGTTAATTCATCTTAGCTCTCTGTAAGCCCCTGGTTTTCTTATAGAGCATTGAAGAAAAACACTGCATAGTTCAGGAAGGATAGAGCTGATGTGCCTGGGTGCTAAGACAGGTTTAGTCTCTCTCTCTCTCTCTCTCTCTCTCTCTCTCTCTCTCTCTCTCTGTGTGTGTGTGTGTGTGTGTAGGGAGGTGGTTTTCTGTTGCTTTTCTCTCTGGAAAGGAAAATCTGACAGAGACATCATTGCCCTGGCCAGCGCACTGCATTTAGTGAGTGCTGAGTGCTGACGGGGCTTTGGTCTGAGCTCCTCCAGATGCCAAAACAGAGAAGGCTTTAGTTTTGAGTATTGTCATGGCGCCTGTTTTTCCCAATCAAAAAAGTTATTTCCCCTCCTTTTTTTTTTTTAACTTCTTACAAACAGGAGATGACTAAATGCTGAGGATCTGATGCACAGCACTGTGACTACAGTTAATAGCACTGCATTATATACTTGCAAGTTGCTAAAAGAGGAGATTAAATGTTCTCACTACAAAAAAAAGTAATTTTGTGCTGTGATGGAGCTGTTAGCTAATGCTGCGGTGTAATCATACTGTGATATGGAAGTGAATCAAATCAACACATTGTGTACCTTAAACTTGCACAATGTTATATGTCAATTATCTATATATATAAAAGCCAAAGTGACTGTTAGGACCAAATCACCAGAACGACCGATCGACCGGTCGCTATGATGTGCACTGACCACCAGGGGGCAGACGCTCAATGTGGGAGCTACCTCCTGGTGATCAGTGCGCTCCCACAGTCAACCTCCCGTGGTCCCTCCCCCTGGCTGACTGTGATTGACCCCAATTGGGACTGGGCGAGATGGCCCCAATTGGCCCTGATCACCAGCCAGGCCGAGGGATCCCACCCGTGCACGAATTCATGCACCAGGCCTCTAGTATCTCAATAAAGTTAGAAAAAGAAGACAAAAAGTCAGCACTTGTTAACAGAACCATACTATTTCCAATCACCTTAATAAACCATGTTTGCAAAACTCAAACCAAAAAGTTATTTTCATTCCTTCAAAAATGCTATAGGGCTAAACCCCAGGACTACCCCTGCCCTACAGGAATATGGATGGGAGTCAGGGAGCTTTCTGAGACAGGTGCCTGTGGTTTCTCCCTACAGGCCCTTGCAGCTCCTCACTTCCTTTCCTATAGATGACCTTAAGCTTTGTGCCTCCCTGGGTCATTCTTTTTTATTATTAAATTTATTGGTGTGATAGTGGTAAATAAAATTACATAGGTCTCAAGTATACAATTCTATGATACATTATCTGTACATTGCATTGTGTGCCCACCACCTGAAGTCAATCTTCTTCTGTCACCATATACTTGTCCCCTTTACCCTTTACTACTCCCCTTCCCCTTCCCTCTGGTAACCACTATAGTACTGTCTGTGTCTATGAGTCTCTGCTGGTTGACTTGTCTTGTTTGTTTATTTGTTACTTTCAGTCATATCCCACATATAAGTGAAATCATGCTTTTTCTGTATGCCTATTTCCACCTAAAAAAAATCTGAAAACATTTATTCACAAAGATATGTGCACTTCTATGTTCACTGCGGCATTATTTATAGTAAACACAATATGGAAGCAACCTACGTGACTGTCAATATATCAGATAAAGGAGATGTGGCACATGTATACAATGGAATACTACACAGCCATAAGAAAGGATGGAATACTGCTATTTGTGACAACATGAATGGATGTTGAGAATATCATGCTAAGTGAAATAAGTCAGACAAAAAAACACCCCTCAAGATCCTTGGGTCATTCTTAGCCCATTAGCTCCCTTCTCCATGTAGTCCTAACCTACATTTATTTTAGGTTTTGCTCTGTTTTCTTCTTCCTTTTATATTTTGTCATTAAGCTGAAGATGAATTTCCATCCATTCTCTTTGGTATTAGACGTTTGTTTCATTTTTATTTGGTAATAAAAATTTTATGTCTTCAGAGAAAAAATAAACTGTTTAATCCCCCTCTTGAAATAGAAGCGTCCAGGAGTCCTTTGGTATTAGGAGCCTATAAAAGTACATCCATAGATGATAAAATATTATTTCACAGACTACTTTACCAGCTTTTTCTGAATTTTACTTCTTCCCTTTGATCCTCTTGTTTGGGCCCTCAGTTGATCTTTGATAACCCTTGAGTCTAATTTGGATCCAGGCAGAAAGTACTCAGTGGGCAATTACCTGATTATGTCTTCCTCCCAAACACTGACTGCACTTTTTTCATTCTATCTCCAGTGGCCTTTATCTAGAAATAACATTGTTTGCTTCCCAATGTCTTTGTGGTTTATGTCTTTTCCTCTGTAATAGTTATCTATATTAATCCCTTTCTCCCACATCACAAATTCTGTTTTTAAACAGTCATTTCTGCTACAACGCATTCTATCCACAGAATGGCATGTGTACCAGTACTCATTTCCTGCCTGTATTTTTTTTTTCAGTGAAAGTGTTAACTTTTTAACTATTTATATCTACCCAGACGCTGTTATTCTTGAATATAATTCACAATTAACTTTTAAAGGCATGTCTTCGACTTGCATTTTTACATGATATATGGTCCTTTTACCAAGAAGAATCTCTAATAATAAGCCTTTCTAAAATTGTAGATGTGCACCTGGAATATTCATAGATTTAGATTCTGCTTTCTATATTTTTAGGTTTTCTTTTATTTCATTTTTAATGTATACTTTCTGTAGTAGTTATGTGTGTTTTTTTTCACTTCTAAACACTCTCAAACTAACAGAAGATTTGCAAATATTGCACTTAGCTATTTTCCCCCCAAACTCCTTGAAAGGAAGTTGTTGACCTGGTGCCCCAATACTTGAGTGTATCATATAAACGAGAACATTCTTCTAAATAACCACCATCTATGCATCAAAACAAGCAAATTAACGTGGATGTCTTGTTACCACCTAATTTGTGGACCCCACTCAAATTTTATCAATTCTTTGAATAATGGCTTCATTGCAAATGAAACAATTTGGAAATAAAATTGATCTAGAATAAATCTTGTATTTTATTCATCATTTATCACATTGTCTCCTTTAATCTGAACCTGAAGATTATTCTTTCTAGAACTGTCATGATGTAGGCACTTAAAAAATATTATCCCTCTACTGATCAGAATGTACCTCAGTTTGCATTAGTCTAATGTTTCCTCATGATTTGGTTTAGGTACTACACCTTGACAGACATATCACAGAAGTGATGCTTCTTATCAGATGGTGGACCATCTTAATTTTTACTATGACTGGTGGTATTTACTTTGGTTAATTGGTTAGGTTGATGCTTGCCAGGATATATCTTTATACATATATATATATATGCATAAATACACATATATACATACATATAAAAACATATATGCATATTCATATATATTAATTTACACCTAAATATTTACTTCTTTATTTTTTAAATATGTTTTTATTGATTTCAGAGAGGAAGGGAGAGGGAGAGAGAGAGATAGAAACATCAATGATGAGAATCATTGACCAGCTGCCTCCTGCATGCCAACTGGGGATTGAGCCCACAACCCAGGCATGTGTCCTTGACCGGAATCAAACCTGGGACCCTTCAGTCTGCAGGCTGACGCTC